CAGCCTCCATTCACAGCTTGCCCTGTGTCACTGCCATTTTCTATGCGGGCCGTCCTCTGGATTGGCTCTAGCGCTGCTGTTGGCCATGGGGCTGCCCGACTGAACTGATTCATCTCAGCTGCTGGCAACGGTGCAGTCCTACTGAACTCATTCATCTCAGCTGCTGGCCATGGGGCTGCCCACCTGAACTGATTCAACTCAGCCGCTGGCCACGTGGCAACCCACCAGAACTAATCGATTTTAGACAGCCTTCGTTCTCATCATGCAGAAAGTAACAAATAATCTGCCAAGTGTGTGTGTCTAACTAGAAGCAATAGCGTTTGAAAGACACCATTGATCTGTTATTTATATTTGGTCCACATAGTGTGGAGGGTTAATAGCACTACTATGAGAGCGTACAATGGACAATAAATCATTTTTGTTTCAACAAATGGGCTATAAGAAATGTACAAATTAGTTACTCGGCAATGGGGAAGGTGTAATATAATTAGCTCACAAATTAGCCTATAATTAGCTCATTTGCCTAATTATAGGCCAACTTCCAACCTTCCTTTTATCTAAAAAAATTGTGAAAGAGTAGTGGTAAAACAGCTAACTTATCATCTGAAGAGGAATGGAGTTTTTTTCCTATCTGTGCTAGGATCAATTCTGTTTCCATTATATATTGTTCTCTTACGCAATATCAATAAAAGGCATAGCATACATTTTCACTCCTATGCAGGTACCCAGCTTTATCTAGCCACAAACCAGATGATACACATCAATTAGTTAAACTATAGGACTGCCTTAAGACACAAAGGGCTGGATGATCTCTAATGCTTCTAAATTCATATAAAACTAAAACTCCTAAATATCTTTGAATTTTTGAACAGGATATGACCTGCAATTTGCATATTAAATTAACATTTAGGATTCCTTTCTTTCATATACACAATGTTTCTAAATTAGAAACATCTTTTCTCAGGGTGATCCTGAAAAACGAGGTCAGGCAAGGTTAGACTTCTTGACTACTGGAATTCATTATTATCAGGCTGTCCTAAAGACTCCTTTAAAAGCCTTCCGTTGATCCAAAATACTGCAGAAAGAGTAGGGGATGAGAACTAGAAATGGAGAGCTATTTTTGACAAATCATAAAGTTAGGACTAGATCAGGTGAACATGAATCCTCCCTTAGTTATGCTGCAGTAGCTCTAGGCTACTTAGATACCATTAATTGCTGCCTCTCTTCAAACAGCATGTCTTTTGTCCGGTCTTCCCCACTCTCATCCCCTATGGTCGCGGCAGATGGCTGCCCCTTCATGAGCTGGGTTCTGCTACAGGTTTCTTCCTGCTTAAAAGCAAGTTTTTCCTTCCCACTGTCACACTGTCTTTTAAAAAGACTAAAGCTTCATTTTTTAACAATCTTAGCCTTATTCTCTAACTGAAGACCCTCACCTAAAATGGCCACCACCTCATCGTCCTGGATGACCTCCAGCGATCCTGACACGACGAAGCAAAGGCTGTCCACGCTCTCTCCAGCATGATAGATAAGGTCACCAGGGGCACTGTGGATGGTCTGAAACTCCATGGCCAGAGCCCGCAGGCAGCCATCACTGGCCAGGCGAAATGCTGGGTGTTCCTTAAACACCTTCCTGTTGAGGTGGACACAGATGTCTGCTCGCATGTCCTTTGGACAAATCTGCAGCACCTGCAAACAGAGTTAGACCAAGGTGACGTCACACAGAGCCAGATAAATAATGATCATTGCTAAAATGTCATCAGTAGTTACATTCAGGATTTCCTAAGCTGACGTGAAAACAGAAATACAGTTAATGCAGACATAATGATGCTGCCCTTTTTATGCTTCATTTCCATGCTGATGAACTACATTCTACTTACTGTTCACCAGCAGTTCACCAGCAACTTTTGAAACTTATGAAATCCTTGAGATTGTTTTTCACTGTATCATCAAAACATTTAAAAACTAATATCAATAAAAACTGAAGTTGCACATGGAATAAACATTGTTCCACTGCCAAACCTTTTGGTCATGACTGCCTGAAGTATTGACTAAGTACAGGATTGGCTGTGGCACCTTCCTGATGTATTCATGGATCTTTGTTGTTTTATCCTGGACAACAAAGACACTAACTAGTACTTGGCCTCCTTCCTTCTCTTTAGGATACAGTCTCAAGATGCTCGATTTAGGGTTTATACCCTCCATGCATGGTAATCAGCTTTGTTGTCTTGATGTCAGTGGCTTCTATGTCCTCCTTTGGCCATATTATTATTCCAGCAAGGTATCCGGTGGCCAGTGGGGCATAAGTGTCGATTGCCCAGATCTTGTTCATTCCATTCAGCTGACTGCTCAGGACTTGTCTTGCTCTTTGCAGGTATTTAGTGGTTGCAGTTTTCGTAGCAGCCTCTTCATGGAAATATATTGTGATTTATTTGTGCAGAAGAGTATGAATGGTTCCATTTTTTCAAAACTAACTTAAAAATTTAAGAATTCTGGTTTCAGTTTGGTTGGGCAGTGATGCTACTGCTAAAACTGTAGCTATAACTGTATAGAAACAAAAAATTCATAATAAATAAAGATACAACCACAACCAGCTGTTTCACTTCCAATAACACAATGATTTGGACTGAATTCTTACCTTGTCAGTATCAATGCCTCTTGACATGGACCAGGTGGACACAATGTAGTCCATCACACGCTCACTCAGGCCTTTAGGGACCTGGTAGAGCTTGAGGAAGTCTCTCACACTGTTGAGCATCTCATGGTACCTGTTGGTGTTGGCATACATCTGCTGGAAGATGGTGGTGACGTTACCAAAAATGGTGGCATACAGCAGCGCTGTAAACAGAGGACAAAAAACATTAAGTTCTTATACTTCTCTACAAAACCTACTGTTACATTGTAGATGTTATATTGTCAAACCTGTCTTTATTATTCACAAAACAGAATTTCAGTGTCGCAGCAATCACTTCAGTCACTTGTAGATGTGCTCAAATACCATATTATAAGATATGAAATGCTAAAAACTTATTGTGTTACAGAATAAGTTTAAACAGAAAATACAAAAATGTGAAGACCATACGAAAGTCCAGTATGAGATGCATGAAATGCCTTTATCCATTAACTATCTAATTGCATTGACCACTGCCACAGTCATGCGAATAAACTCTGCTTAAGCTGACAGAAGAGTCTTTTGATTCAAACAACGACAAATTACTCTGATAAATAATATGAAGGCGTCACATCAGACCACAGAAGATCTAACTCATCAGTCCAGGAATCTGCAGTCAATTTTCACTTACAGCTCTGTGACTGCTCTGTCAATGACGAGGATGCACACATCCTTGACAGGGAGGAATGCTGGTTGAGGCCATTTATATGAAAAGGGAAAGACCGTCTCTGAATCGCAGAGGGGGCCAAAGGGTGCATCTTTCACCATCTCCCAATGCAGTGACTGCATCCTCTCTGTCAATGGCGCCCATGGCCATTGATCAATGGTCACTGATCAATGGTTAGTGGTCACTAACATATTAATGACCATGAACTGACCTCACGGCCCACTTTTAATCAGTGGTGCTAGGTTGGGTAGGAAATTTCTATCCATAGCGATGCTAGAATACTTGTACAAGTTGTCTGAAATTTCTGAAACTCCTCATTATATCAGCTACAAATAGCTCCTCATTTAGCTCCTAGTTCAAAGAGATTGAAGTGAAAGATAATAAAAAGTGACAGGTTTTTGAAAGTTTTTTTGAAATCAACAGCAGAGAAAAGACCAGATTTGTAAAAGCACATCAACATGTTGTGTGATTCACTTAATAGACCTCAAAACACTCTTTGAAATAACAATGACAAAGAAGTGTTCCGGAAAGAAACATAATTTCAGTTTTATCATCTGTTTACATTCTGTTAATCAGGCACTTAAATGTAAATGCTCAATAGTTGCTACTGATTTTTTATGGTTTAAGGTTTTTGTTCAGTGAAATCACAGTAGAGGACGGTGCAGAAGTTTAGTAATCTTACACCATTGAAAGGTTTGAATCTCCTTGTTGACTCTGGCCTTTTTTTGTGGAGTTTTAATGTACATTAATGTACTGTGTCTGTGTGGGTGCTCTGGCTTCCTCCCACAGTCCTAACATATGCTTATAACATATACCAAGTTAACTGGGGATTCTAAATTGATCATCATTTTTGTTATAAAGCGCCGTGTGACTGTTTTTAACTGTGGCTTGTGTACTACATTACAGGACTGGCATTCATTTTGTGCTGTAAATCATACAGAGACATTAATTAGCTATTCTCATCTCATGTAAGTGATCATTTGAGAGGTGCTCTAAGCAAGAGGACATTTCTAGCAAACAGGCTTTTTTTTTTACTCTAAAGATGTTTCTTTGGAAAGTTCTGTTGTATTTCCTACAAGGTAATAAACGTGTGCACTGGTGTTTCTCTGTATAAAAAAATTAACCTTTAGCAAATCCACAGCTCAGCCCATCAGTTGAGCCCATACAGTCTATCCCTGACTCAGCTGCTCTCCCTCACTGCCTGTCAGCAGTATGCACTCTGGGTCATCAGATCAATGCCGACCCCATCCAGCATGCAGCAGGAGCCTGCTGTCATCCACTATGAACACAGTCAAAGTGTGGAGCTGACCGCAGCATAGAGAACTTGCTGTGACCTCCCGAAAGGTTACTGTGCAGCCTCAGCACAGAGGTGGAGCTGAGTTGGTGTTAAAACAATAACAGCAGGTTCAGAACAGATGCCAGGTCTATAGGTCCACTACTGAGCTGTTGTGCGCAGCAGTTAAGATGTTTCTTATTTTGTAACATTAATTTATTCACAAACACACTCTAAGCTGAAACTTCTCTCCCATCTACCAAAGCAGTCAAGCTGCTTTAAAAAAAAAAACTTAACTAACTTAACTAGTTAACTTCATGTTAAATGACTGTTAACAAACCTGTCTTCTGTGCCTTTTTCAAGTTTCAAGCCTTCCCTATGTCTATTCCTCGCCACTTCCCAATTCTTATGTACAGTCGTGTAAATATTTGTGATAGGTCATGTTGGGTTATTGTGGATTTGGGTGTCTTCTCACTTGGAGTTCTTCTCACTGAATAAAACATGTGTGATTTGATCGCTGAGTTTACTGAGCCTGCTTTTGGGTCCTTTTAGTTGCGCAGGCCTCTGGGCTGCCCTGTGACAGTACAGACTGGTCAAGCCATGGACCCAACAGACCCGGTTCGCTCTGCAATTGCCAAGCAAGGTGTGTAATTAGGACAATATGAACAGGTTCTACAACATCTAACTGAACAATGTAAATCTATTGGGGGTAAGCAGGATGAGATCTTACCCAACATTTGGGAATGACAAACTGCAACTCACCCCGAGCTGGTTGTGTGCTGAACCAGGGGAGGAGCACTGGCTTAGGCTGAAGTGTTTCTCACGTTCTGTCCAGTTTCCATGTGTCCGTATGATGCTATTCTGGGTGAGTTTAAAAAGACCTTTTCTCATCTTGCTTTTGAGGGCAGTGCGGCAAAGAGATTAAATTAAATTAAATTAAATCTCAGGCAGGGAAACGCAGTACAGCAGAATTTATTATTGATTTTTGCACCGTGGGGTTTTCCATCATACCCTGAATGATCAGATGCAGGACCACCTGGCTTCCTGTGATGAGCTGGCCACATTCAAGGATTTGGTTGAGAGGAACTACTGAACCTAGTGATCTTTCTTCCTTTCCGCTCCCATTTCTCGTTCCGGTCCAGCTCCTTTGGCAGTTACTTCTGAAGAAAGGAAAAGGTACGAGGTATGGGGATACGGGTAGGCGGATCCACGGTTAGCTCTAAGCCCTGTCTAATGCTCCCTGTGACTATTAGCTTGCCCCGTGTGTCTCACTCATTGAATGCGCTCATAGATTTGGGCACTGAGCAGAGCTTAATCGACTTCGATTTCGTCAGTGAGCTTTGCCTTCCACTCATTCCTCTTAACTATCCCATCACAGCAACTGCACTCAATAATCAAGTGTTCCCACAGATTACTCATCGCACCGGGAAGATGGATCAACCTGCATATCACACCTGGAGAGGCTCAGACAGGTGAAAGCAGCAGGACCTGCACAGCATTAGACCCACAGTGCTGAAGGCCTGTGCCTCCAGAAAGTCCCAGTGCTATGGAAAACATTGTGCCTGGTCCCAGTGCATGAGAAGAATCATCCAGCAGCACTAAATGACTACAGGCCTGTAGCACTAACCTCTCATATTATGAAGGTTTTGGTGAGACTTATCCTGGAAAACCTCAGACCCCTGGTGAGCAAGTCACAAGACCCTCTGCAGTTTGCATACCAGCCCCACTTAAGGGGTGGACAATGCAGTGATACATCTGCAGCAGAGAGCGTATTCCTCCCTCAACAGACACAACACCACAGTTCGGATAATGTTCTTTGACTTCTCTAGTGCCTTCAACACCATCTAGCCTGGGCTGCTGAGAGAGAAGTTGGAGGACATGCAGGTAGAGGCTCCACTGGTCCAGTGGATCAGCGACTACCTGACAGGCAGACCACAGTTTGTGAGACTGCAGAGCTGCAGAGTCTGAACAGCAATATTGGAGCACTCCAGGGAACTGTTCTGTCCCCTTTCCTCTTCACCATCTATAGGGCCGACTTCAAGTACATCACAGACACTTGTCTCCTCCAGAAATTCTCTGATGACACGGCCATTATTGGAAGTGTGGGCATGGGAAGGGAAGAGAAGTACAGAGGACTGATCAATCGTGAGGTGGTGTGAGGTGAGCCACCTGCAGATGAATGTGGCCAAAACAAAGGAGCTGATGGAGGACTTCTGCAGAAACAGATCCTGCATTGGTGAGACTGACGTCGAAATAGTCACATCCTACAAGTATCCTGGAGTTCATCTGGATCACAAGCTGGAGTCGTCTGCCAACACAGAAGCTGCCTACAAAAAGGGTTTGAGCTGATTTTACTTCCTATGAAGGCTCAGATCCTTATGCGGCAAGCTGCTCTATACGTTTTATCAGTCTGTTGTTGGGAGCACCATCTTCTTTGCTGGGGTGTGCTGAGGTGCGGGCATCAAAGAGAAGGACACAAAAAGACTGAACAAAGTCATCAGGAAGGCTGAGTCTGTTGCTAGCATGAAGCTTGCCACCCTGGAGGTGGTGATCAGTAACAAAATGCTGGGAAGAGTGCTGGCAATCATGGACAATGACTCCCACCCACTCCATAACACACTGGACAATCTGAAGAGCAGTTGCAGCAACATGTTCCTTCAACCTTGCTGCCTGAGGGAATGTTACAGGAGGTCGTTCCTTCCCACTGCTATCG